CTGCAAATGACTCAGAAAATATGAGTGGGGGATATTTAGTCAATTAGGTCATCTGATTGCCTAATCATCCTTTAGTGAATTGAAAACCAAATTACAATATTGATGAAATTTAGCTGATGGAAGAAAATGATCCAAATCACTATCTAATTCAATCTACTGTGAAAACAGCAAACTTGTCAGGTTTCCACATTTACTAGTGTGTTATTTATATAATTATTTAACAATGTAAATGAGCATGATGACAGATACTTCGCTGTTTTCACAGTAAACTGGGCAGTGACTCAGTTCTAATGGGGGAGGTCACATGCTTATACTACACAACACTGTAGTGGCCAGGGTTTCTGTTGGGTGAAAAGCCATGAAATACAGTGAAAGAAACACTAGACATAGGAGTCCAAATGTGTGGGATCAAGCCTTGACCCACAGATTGTTAGCTGAGTGACCTTGGTAAGTCAATTCATCTCTAAAAGTATGCATTTTCCTCACCTTAAAAATAAGAGCAGCAGTAGTACCTATGTCCTTTTTCACAGTAGTGGTGAAGAAATAATGAGAACATATGTATGAAAAGTGATTTCAAAACGTCCAGCTGTGATGTTAAACATAAGGCATTATAAATTAGACACGCTCAAACTAGATTTACTTTTTTCAGACTTTAAGGGTAACTGGAATGTAATAAAGCAATTATTTTGAAATTCTTGTTCTTGAATATGGACAATAACATGGAGATCTAAAAGCATGAAATAAACATCTGGTTCAAGGGCTTCATAATACTGTGATAATTAATAGCTGATAGCATATGGCAGTTTAGGAAATATATAAAACTGCTCTAATTTCATTTACTATTAATTTATTCCTATAAATAAAGGCACTTAATCAGGTACAATATGACATGAAAAATTGAATGTTTCAAAATCAATATAAACATATTCTTGGAAATAGAACTATAAGCCCATGAGGACAAACAAAATACAAATGAGGTGAGTACCTCACACAATGCCTGGCACAAAACATGCAACCAAGAGACGTTTGTTGAGCTAAGCATAAATAAAAAAGTCATGTATCTTCATGAAGAATTCAAGGAGAACTCTGAAAATGCACATACACATTCATGTTATATTCAAAGTATAGTATGTCACCTGAAACTTAAATAACAGCAAGAAAAAGATATTTTTATCCAACAGAACTCATCAAGTATGACCTGATGCAATCTCGTGCCACAGACCCAATGATGCCTTTCACCATCATTTGAAAACTAAATCACGCAGAACTTCCCATTGTACTCATGGTTATGCTCATGGTCTGAAAGAGGGTGTTTAACTTCAAGTGTTAATTTATAATGCCTCATTTTAATACAGCATTTTAAATATCTCAGAGTGTTTCCTCATACGCTTCCATATGTGACGGCTAAAACAACACTGTAAGGTTGACAAGATATTTGGGCTCGTGTTCACAAACACACATCTGCACTTTCTTCTTCAGGAGGTGCTGTGTGGGGAGCTCATGGTGACTCACCCTACCCACTTCTACGGCTCATCCTTAATCACATTTCCTCAGGATTTTAACCAGGCCCGGGAAATAGAAGTTCCACATAACATCACCTGGTTACTGGGTTCAGAGAGCCACGCATCATCAGTGAAAAAAGCCCACATAGACTCCACTTCGTACTGCTATTATAACTAGGATCACCACTTAGAAACAGCAGGCAAGATTTTACTCATTCGTATGTGAATATTTACTTGCTATAGGACTATCAGGTATGGTACTATAATTTTAAAAATGAGTACTGAGATCATATAAAAATTAATTTTATCTTAAAATAATTTTGAAAAAGATAACCATTGAAAACTGTTCGGAACACAGCAATATGGCTTCTTATTTTAAGAAGTATCTACATGAAATACAGTTGGTCAATGCTAACTGCCCTATGACCCTAATTATACATGCATACATTTAATTATTAAATATTTTATTTATATATAAATATACAAATACATACTTATTTCAGTGAGGTTGCATTTCAAGAAGTTTTGAAACACAGTCTAAAATAAATGTCAAGGGACATAAATCTAGGAGAGGATCCCACAATGTCAACCTACCTTTTGTGGCCACTCGGACACAGTCTATTTTGGTTTCCTGTGTCAAACAAAAAGAGGGAAAAAATCGTTATTCATGTTTTATTTAAAACAAACAGAAATATCTATAGTTCTATTTAAATAACACTGATTAGGAAAGAGGCACTGTCCCAAGTGTGGCTTTAATCACAGAGTGATTACTCTTTGAACAACACTAAGATACATTTTTTGGCTCCAGTGCTTGAGGGGCCGGGCACTTCCGGACCAGATAATGAGCCGGGAGTTACACACAAAATGTCTCTGCCTGGTGGCCCCAGACCTCCTCTAGCCCTGTACTTGCCCCTGTGCAAACAGTGTTGGAGCAGAACAACTCTGCATCTGAGATCTTGCCCTCTTCACTGGCAAAAGTCAAGTCTACTGTGATACCGAAACTTAAGCTGTGGAGGAGGGAAGCCACCATGGTATCTGGAAAACATTTCCTTCTGTCTAGGGAGACTTTAAAACCCCATCAGAGTTCTGGATTGGTCTGAATAGGAGAGGGAAAGAAATTCAGAGATGACTCAATGACAGTTTTTATTTTGTTTCCATCTCATCTTTCTAAAGCTGTTTTCACTTAGAAAAAAGATACCTAATTTAGTCACAGCTATAGGAAGCATAAACTCTCATGGAACTAAGCAAATGGGACAGAATGTGCTGAAAAGATAGATGCTGTGAATCTCACGAAATTGTAGATGAGCTGAATGTGTGTGCTGTGGCTATACTATTTTCCTGTAAAATAGTAAGCTAAGAAGAATTACTAGCCAACTCTTGGCAAGAAGAAAGAATTGAAAATAAAACCTCTCATGATGATGATATACTCTTCTAACCAAAAAAGAAAGAAAAAAGATGAATAGTCTCTGGATGAAAATAATTTTAGGAAGAAAAAAACCCACATTTGTTTATAAGTAAAAATACACAAAAGCATGATTTCATTTTTTACTACTATTTTACTTAATCTATGTTCACATTAACAACCCAAAAATAGCCTAAGTAAACAGCCATCTAAAAAACTTACCCCATTGGCTCTACTAGCAGCTTGGAAATAAATTCTGTAGCTTTTATGGGGGAGGAGGGGAGTGTTCCAGTATCCACTGTATGTCTTATTATCACCAATAGTAAAAGGCTTTGCAGCTTGGAGGCTGTCTGCTGGAAATTCCGCAGCAAAGTAGTACTGCGAGTTCAGGATGGACGCATTCTGGAAGTGAATCGGTACTGGGTAGCACTTTAAGATTTCTGTTGTCTTTTTGGTTCTTCGAGGACGTTCTTCCTCAACAACTATTTGATAGACACTAGAAACAAAAAAGAGTATCATCAATGATAGTTTGTGATAACTGAGCTGATCCCCTCTGGCATTAACTGCATGGACTCACAGGATGTTAAAAATAAAGAACACACGGGACACAGTCAACAACAGGTGTTTGGTATATAACAGACCCTCGCTCGACACTTGCTTAATGAGAGAGAGAAGGTGCTTAAGTTCTTCCTCAGAACTCGCCCACACAAAATAAAACAATTTATGGAGAAAAACAAAATTCACCCTAATTAAAAAAATTTTTATATGATAACCTCTGATTATGTGAGCACACCAAAATAATATTTTTCTCACATATTACAGATGATTTTACAATTAAGTCAGTTTACCTGATAAACTAAATTAAATGAAATGATATTAACTATAAGTTTATTTTAAAAAGCGATGTATTATTCTCTTCAGTGACATCTGTATGAATGCATGTGAAGTTTTAACAATTCACAAAACACATTGTGTAGTGATTCATACTAGTTCAGGTTTATCTTCCCATATGTCTAATATTCCTTTGCCCTTCTCCATACTTGGTCAGTAGAAAGAGACAGTATAAGAAAAACAGAGACAAGGAATTTGAACTTCAAAAGCCAAGGCCTTGGGGTTATGTGAGCAAGGCCCCAAGAATCCCTCGTAAAGGTGGGGTGGGCAGGGGTGCCTCTGAAGATGCTCTCAAGGATGATGTCCCCCCGAGAGGCTGGCCTCTGGCACTGCCACCCTCTTCCTATGTCTCTGAATTCTGAAGCAAACTTAGGACAATGAGAGAAACCCTGACCCGACAGACTTTTAGAAAATTAAGATATTTACGTTTGCTAGAATGATAAATGTTTCACGCCGTTTTGTTGAAAAAACAGTTTCTAATGCTGAGAAAAACTATTTTAAAAACTGAATCCGGATTAGATTGAAAGTCCATCTGGCAGGGAGGGCTATCTTTTTCTTACTGTACCAGGAAAGTAACCCTGATTTCCCTGAAACAACACTGGAATAATCCAAGAGTTGCTCAGTACAGGTACCCATCAATCAATGCCAAGAAGAAATCACAGCAGAGGGGTGCTGCCACCCCACCTCCTGGGGGCGCCACAGGGTCCCTCTTTACACTCGCACGTGTGTGTACTCTGAGTCTGCACTCAGTGAGACCATCCGTCTCTGTGAGGGCGACCACGTAGCACACTCTACTACAGTAATGAAACGTGTGCCACCTTTCAGCTGGTAACTCTGTCTAAATAAAGGTCAATTGTTTTAGAATATCAGTGATTCTTCAGTAGCCAGGAAGGTAGCCAGTAGACACGTAGGTAGCCAGCAGGTCTACAGGGTAATGATGAAGTGAATTTTGACCAGTGACGTCAACTTAAAAAAAAAAAATACAACTTTTACCTCCTAATATCAGAGACTTTCTGTTGGGTCTCGTCATGTGAAATGCTCCACCAAATCTGGTAGAATTCTCCCTGCACAATAGATCCAACCCAAGAGAAAGTATTTAGGAAGGAATCCAGAGCAAGGACACAAACACACAAAGAGGTAAAGTGGACTTTGATTTCTCTCCCCTTCTCCCTAACTTCTTACAGCTACAAACACAAAGATGTGGTGATTTAAAAACCTAAGTATGATATAAAAATTCTTATGCGTACATTATATTAATACACATGAGCAATGATAAATATGGACACATTTTTCTTGCATTTACAAATTGAAAGCATTATCCTATACCAGGAACATCTACTGTACAATATGTGTAAGTTGATAATGTATATAAAAATCAAATCTGTAACAGTCACAGAATAACAGCATTCAACAGCAACTTTTGTTAATACATTTTCTTACTTTTTTGAGAAATTCATG